CTTTATAATGAGATCTATTACAAAATGGAAAACTTCACTATCGAAACTTAGCCAAATAGACAGATGTATAGAAATCAAAGATAAGATTATCGAAAAATATTGATTCTAAAATGTTCCTTATCTTACACTCCACCTTAACATTTTTTTCTTTATTCCAAATCGGTTGTTCTTTTCTATTTTCCGAAAATTTCGATTTTAAAGTAAAAGCACATTGCTACGCTTTCATACCAATCTGTGCAAACCTAAATAGCGCGTTTTTTTGCTTTTTAGCAAATGACAAAAATGAAATAAAAAACAAAACCAAATCACAAAAATCCAAAGATCAATAAAAAATTATACTAATTCAACTTTTCCGGCTACTGAAGTAAACTAAACCGAAACGACTAAAATTCACATGTTTTTCAAACATCATCAATGATCTACCAATTCACAAATCTATTCACCACAACGCAAACACTACAACTTCACTAAATATGCACAATACCTGAAAATATTGAAACTCATTGATGATCATACAAATTTGTTTATTATATGATAACAACACAATTAAAACCAAGTTTAATACAAAAAAATTACAGAAAATTCTATTTGAACTGGATAATATTTAGAATCATTTGTTTATTATATGATAATCATTCAATCGAAATCTAATTGAATATTAAAAAATAACATTGAATTATATTTGAGCTGGCTAATTATCAGATGCATTTGTTTATTATATGATAACTATTCAATTGAAATGTAATCCAATACTAAAAAATAATATAGAATCATATTTGAATTCAGTGATACTTATCAGAAGCATTTGTTTATTATATGATAACTATTCAATTGAAATCTAATCCAATACTAAAAAATAATATTGAATCATATTTGAATTGAATAATAGTAAGATACATTTGTTTATTATAGGATAATCATTAAATTGAAATCTAATTGAATATTACAAAATAATATTGAATTATATTTGAATTGAATGATCGTAAAATAAATTCTTTTATTATATAATAATCATTAAATTGAAATATAATTAAATATTAAAAAATAATATTGAATTATATTTGAATTGCATGATGATAAGATAGATTCGTATATTTTATGATAATCATTCAATTGAAATCTAACTCAATACTAAAAAAATAATATTGAATTATATTTGAGTTGGCTAATGTTTAAATGTATTTGTTTATTA